TTTTATTTTTTTATTTTTATTGACTTCAGAGAGGAAGGAAGAGGGAGGGGGGGAGAGAGAGAGAGAGAGAGAGAGAAATATTGATGATGAGAGAATCATGGATCGGCTGCCTCCTGCACGTCCTCTACTGGGGATCGAGGCCACAACCTGAGGATGTGCCTTTACTGGAATCGAACCCGGGACCCTTCAGTCCACAGGCCAACGCTCTACTCACTGAGCCAAACCGGCTAGGGCTAAAGTTCAGTCTTGACAACCCAGCGTCATGTCAAAGTCTACCCTGGTCTACCTACATGAATATGTCCTTTCTAACCGCTGGAGCCTCAGAAGGACTTGAACCTGACAGATGAGTTCTTTCATATTGGGAGGTTAGGTTGGGGTCAAGAAGTTGTTGCCAGAGACTTGTAGCCTTTCTTCTCTTTGATCGCAGCTTGCGAACCTCCTTCAGAACCAGGCGGTGAAAGGCAGAGCGGTTGGCGCCCTCCTGAGAGCCCTCTTCCGAGGTAACGATACGAATGCCCTCCCGTCTCCCTTGCTTCGTTGGTGGAGCTGTTTGCTTGGGGCGCATGTTGCTATTCTTCATGCTGTTTGCAGCCCCACTGAGACTTGGCTGTGTGTCTGGGAGATTTTACGGAATCGACTAAAGCAGCAAGTCTCTTGTCTTGTGGGTTTTAATAACTTTACTGGAGGGGGTTGCAGTGGCTGCCTGAGGTGCGATGGCTGGTTTGGGGGCCTGTAAAGGGTGCATTTCACAAAATCAGCTTTGGTTTCCTTTTGCTTTTCTTTCTTTCTTTTTTTTTTTAAAAAAAATATATTTTATTGATTTTTTAGAGAGGAAGGGAGAGAGAGAGTTAGAAACATCGATGAGAGACAAACATCGATCAGCTGCCTCTTGCACATCTCCTACTGAGGATGTGCCCGCAACCCAGGTACATGCCCTTGACCGGAATCGAACCTGGGACCTTTCAGTCTGCAGGCCGACGCTCTATCCACTGAGCCAAACCGGTTTCGGCTGCTTTTCTTTTTTAAAAAATATTTTTTATTGCTTTTTTACAGAGAGGAAGGGAGAGGGATAGAGAGTTGGAAACATCAATGAGAGAGAAACATCGATCAGCTGCCTCCAGCACACTCCCCACTGGGGATGTGCCGCAACCAAGGTACATGCCCTTGACCGGAATCGAACCTGCGACCCTTGAGTCCGAAGGCCGACGCTTTATCCACTGAGCCAAACCGGTCAGGGCTCCTTGTGCTTTTCAAATGGTGGAGAAGACAGTAGCAGTGGTTAGTGCCTGGTCTGCTTAAGGGGCTAAGAGTTGTGGGATTTAATGAAATGGGATATAGAGATTCTTCATTTCCAGCGGGGTATATTTGTTTCCATATTTTGAAAAAGGGCCAGTTCTACATTTTTTTTTTTTTTTTGCAGATTGTGACTCAGAGTGACTTTTTAAATTGTGGTAGAATAATATGCTACAAGGCAAAAAAAAAAAAAAAGTGGCTTTATACTCTTAGCAGTGCATTTTAACTTGGTTTAGTTTTCAAGGGTCAAAAACACATTTTCCTGCCCTGGCTGATTTGGCTCAGTGGATAGAGTCGACCCACAGACTGAAGGGTCACGGGTTCGATTCTAGTCCAGGGCAGGTACCTTGGTTGCAGGCTCGATCATTGGCCCTAGTCGAGACAAGTGCAGGAGGCAACCAATTGATGTGTCTCTCTTACATCGATGTTTCTGTTTCTCCCCCCTTCCATTCTAAAAATCAATGGGAAAATATCCTCGGGTGAGGATATAAAAGCTCCTATATAATAAAACCCTAATATGCAAATCGACCAAACGGCGGAATGACTGGTCACTATCATGCACACTGACAACCAGGGGACAGACACTCAACATAGGAGCTGTGCCTTGGTGGTCAGTGTGCTCCCACAGGGGGAGTGCCACTGAGCCTGAAGCCGGGCTCACAGATGGCGAGCGCAGCGGCAGTGGCGGGAACCTCTGCTGCAGGCGGGTGGTAAGGAGAGAGGGGTCCTGGACTGCGAGAGGGCGCAGGCTGGGCTGAGGGACACACACATACACACACACACACACACACACACATACACACCAGTGCACGCATTTCGTGCACCAGGCCTCTAGTAAATAAATAAATACACATCTTCCTGTGCATGAAAAAATTTTCAAGATTGGTTGAGTTGACCTTTATAGAAACTTGCTAAATGACTATTTCGTAGAAATATCCAAGAAAAGGAGGTTAGGTGAAAGAAAGAAGAGTAATTTTTTTCCTGGACAGAGAAACCTGGGGAAAATAGGCTCCCACCTATTTTCATCTTATTTAAAAATACAGACTTGGAAAGCCTGGTTTAAAAGTAGCATGAGTCCTGACCGGTTGGCTCAGTGGATAGAGCGTCGCCTGCGGACTGAAGGGTCCCGGGTTCGATTCCGGCCAAGGGCATGTACCTTGCTTTCGGGCACGTCCCCAGTAGGAGGTGTGCAAGAGGCAGCTGATCGATGTTTCTCTCTCAACGATGTTTCTAACTCTCTATCCCTCTCTCTTGCTCTCTGTAAAAAATCAATAAAATATATTTTAAAAAAAAAAGTAGCATGAGTTACGGAGTACTTGTGGAAACTACCTCCTAATCATTTTAATTCATTGATTGTATAAAAGACCAGTAGTAGTTAAGACGACATTTAAAAAAAATTGAGATATATTCCACATACTAGAAAATTCACCCTTTAAAAGTGTACAGTTTTTTTAATTGAGATATAATTGATATAACATACAATTTATCCATTTAAAATGTGCAAGTCAGTGGCTTTTAGTATAGTCACAGAGTTGCACGACCATCACCACAATGCATCTTAGAGCATTTTTATAGTCCTGAACAGAAACTCTGTACCCCTTCACTGTCACCTCCCAGGGGCTGTTGTCTTTAAATTTTTTAAAAATATATTTTTACCGATTTCATAGTGGAAGGGAGAGGGAGAGAGAGATAGAAACATCAATGATGAGAGAGAATCATTGATCGGCTGCCTCTGGCACGCCCCATGCTGGGGATCGAGCCCGAAACCCAGGCATGTGTCCTGACCAGGAATCGAACCGTGACCTGGTTCATAGGTCGATGCTCAGCCACTGAGCCACACCAGCCTGGCTGGGGCTACTGGCTTGTAACGACTCCTGAGCTAGCGGAAGGCAGCGGGGTGGGATGAGTGGATGTTAAATGCCAAGCTCACTGTTCTCCCTGAGATTCTGCTGTTTTTCTTAAATACTCCCTGGATGGTTAGACGTCTCTGGTTAATTTCCAGAGTTCTGAACAAGCTTTTTTTCACGGTTTTTGTCAGTGTTCTCTTTTTGCTTTTCTGGAGGAAAGAATCTTCCAAGATCTGTATTACTCAGACATCACCCAGTGCTGATATTTTGGTTTGTTAAAGACATTTAATTTGGGTTATGGACCCAAAAAAGTGTCCAGTAGTTTTTAATTCTTTTAAAAATGAATGACGTAGGTGGAAGAAGAAAAGATGACATTTTCAGCCAACTGCCTAAGTTACTTTTTCAAAACTTCTAACACCATAGTCATCAGTATTTTGATCATTCTTTTTCTGTGTTAAACTACAAAGCTGTATGATTTTTTCCTGTTTATTTACCCTTCAACCTTGTAAGACTTGTCCTTTTGTTTCTGTACACCTTTCTAAAACAAGGCTCCCCCTGCTCTGAGGAAGCTGGAGCTCTTAGGAGACGCAAGATATACACCTGCTGTACCCAGCTGGTGGAGTCAGGGGACTTGCAGAAAGAAATAGCCTCTGAGATCATCGGATTGCTGATGCTGGAGGTGAGCTGGAAAGCAAACACACTTTTGGTTTTGGGTAGATTTGGGGGGTGGGGTGGGCCTTTGTTGTAATTTGTTGAGGGAGGGAAAACAGATGTGCCAGAACCTAGCACAGGTCCTGTTTATGAATGGGAACTATAAAAGACAAAATAGCCCTAACTGGTTTGGCTCAGTGGATAGAGCATCGGCCTGCGGACTCAAGGGTCCCAGGTTCGATTCCGGTCAAGGGCATGTACCTTGGTTGCGGGCACATCCCCAGTGGGGGGTGTGCAGGAGGCAGCTGATCGACGATTCTAACTCTCTATCCCTCTCCCTTCCTCTCTGTAAAAAATCAATAAAACATATTTAAATAAATAAATAAATAAAAGACAAAATAGTTGATGGGTGGGCCGTAAACCATCTAGGTGGTTCTGTTACGTTTCTGGGTGTGAAGGACGTGTATCTCTTTGAAGAGCTGGCATATTTGAAAACATAAGGAACTGGTGGAGGATTCTGACCTTTGCAATCCTTTTTTTTTTTTTTTTAAATATATTTTTATTGATTTTAGAGAGGAAGAGGGAGAGAGAAACATCCATGATGAGAGAGAATCATGGATCGGCTGCCTCCTGCAAGTCCCCTACTGGGGATTGAGCGAGCCCATAACTCGGGCATGTGCCCTTGACCGGAATCAAACCTGGGACCTTCCAGTTCGCAGGCCGACGTTCTATCCACTGAACCAAACCCGCTAGGCTTAAGTATATTTTTTTTAGTGGTTTCAGAGAGGAAGGGAGAGGGAGAGATAGAAACATCAATGATGAGAGAGAATCATTGATTGGCTGCCTCCTGCACGCCCCCTACTGGGGATCAAGCCCACAACCCAGGTATGTGATCTTGACCCTTCAGTCTGCAGGCTGACGCTGTATCCACCAGTATTCTTTGGAGTCCTAAGACAAACCGGCTAGTACAATCCTTTATCATGACAAGCTTGTACCAGAGAAAAAGGGTGCCCCGAGTCCCTGATAGGGCCAGTTCTGGTCTCATTGCCAGTTCTATTAATTCAGCAAAAGACTCTGTTTCTTGGAAAGAGATAGCCAACATTTGGGTTTCTGTTCAATTTTTTTTTTTTAATCCCATGAACTCTTAGGTCCACTGTTTGCCAGGACCATTGTTGGTTGAATTAGCCAATGAGTTTATCGGTGCAATCAAAGAGGGCAGCCTAACGAATGGAAAATCTTTGGAGTTATTACCCATCATTCTCACGGCCCTTGTTACCAAAAAGGGCAGTCTGGCATGTGGAAAAGGTAAGTTTCTTCCCACTTTAGTGGCTTTTCTCTATTCGCGTAATCAAATTTATTCTCAGTGTATTTGCATTTCTAGATGAACTGAGTGGGGAAGAATCTAAGAAGCAGTTGATCAGCACCCTCTGTTCTGGCAGGTGAGTCCTTCTCATTACTGTGTAGAACTTTCTCATGACTGTAAGGGCCAAAAGAAAGAATTCCTGCCATAGCTGGTTTGGCTTGGTGGGTAGAGCATCCGCCTTCGGACTGAAGTCCCAGGTTCCATTCTGGTCAGGGGCACATGCCCGGGTTGTGGGCTCTAACCCCAGTGAGGGGTGTGCAGGAGGCAGTCGACGGATGATTCTCTCATCATTGATGTTTCTATCTCTCTCTCCCTCTCCCTTCCTCTCTGAAATCAGTAAAAATATATTGGAAGAAAGAAGAGAAAGGAAGGAAGAAGGAAGAATTCCCATTGGTTTTAGCAATTCATGTCACTGAATGTTTTAGTTCATTTATAATGTGCCACTTGTATAAAACCACTTAGGCTGTGATGCATTTTTGAGTGATTATTTACTACATTCTTTGTTCTAAGATTATACATATAATTTCTGTTTATTTGACTGTCCATCTTAACACAGCAATTTAGTTCGCCAGTATTATTTGGAGTCGTAAGATCCCTAAGGCTGGGAAATCACCCTTCTGCTATATCTTTTATATTTTTTTGAGGGAGTGGAGTATGTAAGTGATGTTTATATCTTCAAACCCAGAAATATGGGAATTACCCTAAGAAACGAGTCCAACATAAAAGAAAATTCTCATATATGGATATGTTCAACGAAGACATTGGTGATCAACTTAATCATAAAATGACAGAGACATGAAATTTATACCCATTAAGAGTAAAATGTATAAAGACATAAATCGAAGATGAAAAGCCTTCACTGTATAGTCAGTGAAATATAAAGAGAATAATACTGAGTTATAGAAAAATATGATTATAGTTAGGCATATTAAAAAGAATCAGAAGGAAATATCCAACATTATCTAAACCAAAGATGACCACTTTTTTTAAATATATTTTATTGATTTTTTTTACAGAGAGGAAGGGAGAGGGATAGAGTTAGAAACATCGATGAGAGAGAAACATCGATCAGCTGCCTCCTGCACACCCCCTACTGGGGATGTGCCCACAACCAAGGTACATGCCCTTGACCGGAATCGAACCCGGGACCCTTCAGTCCGCAGGCCGACGCTCTATCTACTGAGCCAAACCAGTCAGGGCAAGATGACCACTTTTATAGTTTCTTATATAAGATCTTTTACATAAATGACATTAGGCATGTATATCAGCACATATATATTTATCCATTGATTCATTTGTTTTTAAATATATTTTTATTGATTTCAGAGAGGAAGGGAGAGGGAGAGAGAAACATCAATGATGAGAGAGAATCACTGATTGGCTGCCTCTGTACACCTCTGACCGAGAATTGAACTGTGACCTCCTGGTTCACAGGCTGACGCTCAACCACTGAGCCACGCCGCTGGGCTGATTCATTTGTTTTTAATTACACAAAGGATCTTATTCAGTACACATTGTGTTATTCATATCCCACTTCTGTTCATGTGTGTGTATAAAACTACATCATTTTTTTGCATCATTTTTTTAATAGTTCTATAGTAGTCTATTTGGCTAATATCCAGTTGTTAGATTTTTTCCCCCCAATAATATTTGATCAATACCGGTTTGCTATTATAACAAGTGCTGCAGTGAACATATATGTCTGGGTGACCTGTTACAAGCATGCAGAGGGGGTATCTTTCTAATAGAGAAATAAAAATATATATATATTTTTTTTAATCCTCACCCGAGTATTATGTGCACCTTTAAAGTCGGGGAGTCTTGTCTTCCCAGGAGGGCTGTGTCAGTGTACACTCCCTAAAACAGCAGGTGAGCAGTGTTTCTTTCCCACAATCTCACCAGCATTGAATATCATCAGACTTTGACTACTTCCAGTCTGCTAGGTTAAAAGCATGTATTTCGTGGTTTTACATGTTATCTCTTTGAGCTTGTTTCCCAGTGGTACCAAATCACACCTGAAATGGCCCTAATTTTCCCCCCTCCTTCCTAATTTTATAAGTTAAAATGCGATGAACTTACATCTTCTTCGTTATTATCTTTAACCAGATGGGATCAGCGATACGTGATTCAGCTCACCTCCATGTTCAAGTAAGTATCATCCTGTCCTTTTCTCCTCTGTCCTGCGTGTGAGCTCCCCTGCTACCAGCTGAAATGTAACAGCTCACCCTCACTCTCTCCCCATTGAGCGTGTTGGTACCTCTATTTTCTGTTACAGAATTTCCCCCCACTCTCTCTTTTTTGCTTTATTTGCTTTCTTAAAATATAAGTTTATGATTTTTTTCCAAGGCGACTTTGCTTAGGTAAGGTTCTTGGTTTCCTTTAAGGTTCTCTGTTGGAGAAAATGCAGAAGGGGCATTATAATATTCTAGTATCTCCCACATTAGGCTGTGGCGTGATTAGGCTCTGGCCCTTAGCATCTTTGATCCACAGGGATGTGCCTCTGACTGCAGAAGAGATGGAACTCGTGATGGAAAAAGTGTTCAAGATGTTCTCCAAGCTGAACCTGCAGGAAATACCGCCTTTGGTCTATCAGCTGCTGATCTCTCCTCAAAGGTAGGAGGACAGCAATGTTCTTTTCTTTTTATATTTTATTGATTTCAGAGAGGAAAGGAGAGGGGGAGAGGAGAGAAACATCAGTGATGAGAGAGAATCATGGATCGGCT